CAAGTCAATCTCAGATCTAGCCTGGAGTCCCGATGGAAAATGCCTCTTTGCGACTGCCCTTGATGGTACGATTCTTGCCGTTCGCTTTGAGGACGGGGAGCTAGGCTACCCAATGGCGATGGAGGAGAACGAGAAGTCACTTACAAAATTCGGCACGAACAGAAGAGGCGCTGGCATCGCTGAGACAACGGATGGGTTACTGCTTGAGGAGAAGAGTAAAGCTGGAGAGATCAAAGACGTCGAGGGGCGAATGGGCGCTCTAATGGGCGATGGCCATGCCACGGCAGAAAGTATGGTCAATGGCAAGGCGGCACCACTTCCATCAAACGGTGCAACGCCTGCACGAGGTCCCTCGCCCGCCCCAGATACGCAGAAGGCTCAATCTAACGGCACTGCAGCAACAGCAGCAGCAGCTCCAGAACCGGAGAAGCCAGATCCGTATCAGGCGAAGTTGGAGAGGCTGAAGCAGCGCCCGACGTACACGAAGGAGGGCAAGAAGCGAATTGCGCCTCTTCTGGTATCAGGAGCCGGCGCGGCAGAGTCATCTCTCCCCCAGGCCCGGCTCATGGCTTCGGTTAGTAGCCAAGTGAAGGCCGATGCGCCACAGTCGATTGTTGATCTTTCGAAACCTTTTGATGGATTACCTAAGGGCGGACTTGCTGCGTTGCTTTTCGGTAATAAGCGAAAGCTCGCGCAACTCGAGGGCGATGAAGATGGACATGTGGAGAAACGGGTCGCACTGGCAAGTCAGAACGGCGCGACACCGATCCTCGCCAATACGCCGGATGGACTTCTTCTGGCGCAACCTCAATCCGCACCAACGGGACAGCAGCCAACGCCGGAGTTCATAAGGCCTGCTGTAACGAATCCCTGCATGGCGATCAGTCAGCTCCGACTTGCAGTACCAAAGGTCCGCAGCCAGATCGTGCGAGCCATCGATTCCAACGGCAGGCCGACGGATCCGCCTAGCGCGACAGGAGAGCCGGGGAAATCGCGGGCTGACGTTGTCTTCGAGGCCCGTAATCCTTCCCCTGCAAGTTTGACAGGTAGAGCTGTAGATCGCGAGCCTGTACGCCTCACGCTGTTTCGCGGCGAACAGCCACTGTGGCAGGATTTCCTCCCACGGACTGTGCTTCTGGTGACCGGTAACCAGAGCATGTGGGCTGCCGCCTGCGAAGATGGATCAGTCTACATCTGGTCGCCCGCAGGCCGGAGACTTGTCAGCGCTCTCGTGCTTGAAGCGCAACCAGTGATTCTGGAATGCAATGGCCCATGGATCCTGTGTATATCATCGGTGGGCATGTGCTATGTCTGGAACGTCAAGCATCTTTCTTCCCCTCACCCTCCCATCTCCCTCCAACCCGTCCTCGATGCAGCAATTCACACGCTGGGTGCGCATCCCTCCGCGGTTCCAGCAATCACCAATGCACGAATCAACTCGGAGGGCCGGGTGGTGGTCGCATTGTCCAATGGCGAAGGCTACTCCTATTCGCCTTCCATGTACACCTGGCAGCGTGTCTCCGAGGCATGGTGGGCCGTCGGCAGTCAGTACTGGAACTCCACGGAAGCTCCGGTGGGCAACCTACAGTCTGCGGGACCGCAGCAAGACAAGGAAACCAAGGCCGCCGTCTCAGCTGGCATCATTCCGTTCCTGGAACGCAATACGACAAATGAGACGCTTCTCCGTGGACGAGCGTACTTCCTGCAGCGGCTGATCAAAGTCCTCTTATCTCGCGAGGGCTACGAGAGCTTCGAGTCAAGCGTGTCTATAGCTCATATGGAGAACCGACTCGCCGCAGCGTTATCGCTGGGAGCTAAAGAAGAGTTCCGGCTCTATTTGTCTATGTATGCCAAGCGTCTCGGAGCGGAGGGCCTCAAGATGAAGGTCGAGGAGCTGCTGAAGGGGCTGATTGGCGGCCTATTTGAGGAGGAGGAAGAGACAGGCACAGTCCGCCGGCTACAAGCGAACGAAAAGGTGGATCGAAACTGGCAGGAGAGTTCGGAGACCCTCTGTGGCTGGCCACGTGAGGTGCTGTTGAAGGAGGTGATTTTAGCCTTGGGTGAGTTTGCAGTGACATCCTTTCTTCTGCACTTGACGAACATACGTCGCTAACTCTTTCTTTTCCTTCCTTATCAGGTAAACACCGGGATCTTCAGCGAGTGACCGTCCCCTATGCCAAGCTGCTGGGCGTGGTGGACAACGAGTCCGAAGACGACGACGCAATGGAAACATAATCAGAGAAGAACAGTTGACAGCCTCATTCTTTTCGTCCATGGTCTTTCTATACGGCGTTGATGATTCGGGTTCCTTACGGCCGGCTTTGATTGAGCGGTAGCCATTTTCTTTTATTGTCGAGGAGCTACGGGTTCAAGGTTCTTCCTTCGCTTCCACTTCATATATCCGGATGTAACATACTTTTCATGCTATAGTCTTGCTTCACCATCTGATCTCTGAAGGGGATGAACTGTGTCGCAAAGTGCTTTTGCGGCCATCGCTTGATTCCTTCTCACTACCCCCGTATACAGAGTAGGACAATGTCACGTGCATGATCGAGGGTTCTGCAGGCATGTGGGCGGTGAGATATCAACTGGCAGAAAAATTGCAAAATTTCCGAGACGAACACGAAAAAGCACGAACATCATCGTAATAATAGAGAAAAGAAGAGAAGTTAGGCGAGTCCTGTACAAGTAGGAAAGGAAACCATCCTCATCTCAATTGCTCTTCCAATTATCATTTGACCGCATAACGAAGGTTACTGTGACAGCCTAAGCTACCTCCCCTCTTCTTTCCCAGTCTCTCTTCTGCCCACTGTCAGTGGGCGCTCTTCATCACGTCTCCCGCACCGCCCGCCGTCGTTCTCTTCTTTTCTCTACCCCTCCGTTTAGAACGATCCGCAGCTGGTTCTGCTTTTGCCTCGCGCCTCCATCAGTCCTCTCCTTTCTTCTCTCCGTTTTCTTCTTCTCCTTATTTTTCTGCCTTCTCCCGCCGAAACTACTCCAGCAAGAAGAAGAAAAAGATGCCTCCCAAGAAGGCCGTTGTCCAGGAGAAGGTCCTGCTGGGCCGTCCAGGAAACAACTTGAAAAGTGGTATCGTATGTGAGCATTGACCCACCGTACTATGTTTTTTTCTGCCCTATTTCCCAGCCTTTGCTTTTTTTCCCTCTCCTATTTAAATCACAGTCTCCATCCGGCAACAATTTTCTTCGCCTACATCCTCGTTCTACATCATGTAGCTTCCATCTGCTATACTCACACAGATGTGAAGAAACCAACATCCAATCTAACAATGGCTATTGATTAGGTCGGTCTGGCCAACGTCGGCAAGTCGACGCTCTTCCAGGCCATCACCAAGTCGTCTCTGGGTAACCCGGCCAACTTCCCCTATGCCACTATCGACCCCGAAGAGGCTCGTGTCATCGTCCCTGATGAGCGATTCGACTGGCTTTGCGAACACTACAAGCCCAAGTCTCAGGTTCCCGCCAACTTGACCGTGTATGATATCGCCGGTCTGACCCGTGGTGCCTCTACTGGTGCTGGTCTGGGAAATGCTTTCCTTTCCCACATTCGTGCTGTCGATGCCATCTTCCAGGTCGTCCGATGCTTCGACGATGCTGAGATCATCCACGTCGAGGGTGATGTCGATCCCGTCCGTGATCTGACCATCATCAGCGAGGAGTTGCGGATCAAGGATATCGAGTTTGTTGAGAAGGCACTCGAGAACCTGGGCAAGCAGACACGTCGCGGCGGCCAGTCTCTTGAGATGAAGAAGCTGCGTGAGGAGGAGGCCACCGTCGCCAAGGTGCTGCAATTCCTGAAAGATGGAAACGACATCCGCAAGGGTGACTGGGCTCCCAAAGAGGTATGTTTCTATCCCTTTCAATCATTCCTGTATCACCCTTTCATATGATGAATAAGAGCTTTGCTCGATATAACCCAGCTCGTCGAACAGCCTCATTTTAATTACAACGCAGAGGCTGTTATGAGATCATGTCCTATCTGATTCAATTTGCAATCCATTACACTCTGTTTACGCCAGTTGTCTGTGCTCCAGATACTAATCGGTCAATTAATAGGTTGAGGTTATCAACCCTCTCTTCCTGCTCACGGCCAAGCCCGTTGTCTATCTGGTCAACCTCAGCGAGAAGGACTACATCCGTCAGAAGAACAAGTACCTGCCCAAGGTCTTTGAGTGGATCCAGAAGAACTCTCCCGGTGATCCTCTGATCCCCATCTCCGTCTCCTTTGAGGAGCGCTTGGCTGCCTTCGGCGATGACGCCAAGGCCGCTGAGGAGTGCAAGAGCTTAAACACCAAGTCGGCTCTGCCTAAGGTTATTGTTACTATGCGTCAAGTTCTCAACCTGGCCAGTTTCTTCACCACTGGTGCAGACGAAGTCCGTCAATGGACTATCCGCAAGGGCACCAAGGCTCCCGCGGCGGCTGGTGTGATTCACACTGATTTTGAAAAGACCTTCATTCAGGTCATTGTGTACAACTACACTACCCTGCGGGAGTATGGTGACGAAGCCGCTGTCAAGGCTGCTGGCAAGGTCATGACCAAGGGCAAGGACTACGTTGTGGAAGATGGTGATATCCTCCTCATCAAGGCCGGAGCTGCCAAGGGCTAAATAGATCAATCAAAAATTTGGATATAGCTCATATAGGCTGATACCTTGCTTGGGTTTATTTGTGATTCCCACCCAGGCATGGTAGAAAGTACTCAATATCACGAAACTCGAAACTCAAAGTTGCGTTTTTGTAGTGCCACCACGCATAGATTGAATAGCGTATTGCTTCAATTTAGCTGGTAATTGAGAATGTGCCTTACAGATCAGGCACAAGAGAGCTTCAATTAGCACGTGACAGCTACTGCCCCTCCCCGCGTTAACCGCGTCATACCATTGGCGCAATTCGTCGGAGGTCGTGAAGGGAAATAGCAGACTGGTTTGACGCTGTGAAAAGCCCAGCGAACGACCATTGACCTCTCCATCGCAAAACCCAAAATGTTCAAGAAAGAGTAAGTACCCTGCGAGCCCAAGTTTGTGTCCTGGGACCCGTTGGGTCTGTGAGAACCTCGTGAGACAGCAGGCCGACTAGTTATCTGTTACCCCTCCGCAAACAAAAGCAAATGTCGAACCCGCTTCAAGACAAAATCACTAAATTTCTGCAATTATGCGAGAGAAGCAAATCAATGACGCATGCTAATAGAAGATGAAAATAAAGTGTTCCCCCCAGCGGCCGCTCAAAAGTCAAGTCCTCGGTGCAGCGCGGCCTGCGCCAAAGATTTCTCGACACATATCCAGGCTTCGAGCCGTATATCGATGAGATCCTCCCCAAGAAAGCCCAGCTCGATGCGGTGAAACTGTAATCCCCCCACCCAAGATTCCTTTGGAGGCGGGATGGAGGCTAACGATGGGGGACACTGCTACAGACCGGATAGAGCGACATTATACACCATCGAATCGACCCCTCTGTTCTACCAGCCCATGGATGGGCCACCAATCCCGCATCTCAAACTGCTCCATTCCTACCCTGATGCCTTGCCGACGGTGCAGATCGATCGGGGCGCGATCCGGTTCGTGCTTTCGGGCGCGACGCTCATGGCGCCTGGGCTGACGTCGCCCGGTGGGCGGTTACCCGATGCGGAGCATGCGCTGGAGAAAGGGCAGGTGGTTGCGGTCATGGCTGAAGGGAAGGAGCATGCGTGTATGGTCGGGCCGTTGAAGGTCGGGACGGAGGAGATGAAGGAGAAGAAGAAGGGTGTGGTCATGGACGAGGGACATTATCTGGGTGACGGCTTGTGGAAGATGCATTTGGATTGACTTGGTTCTCTTTTGTAAATGACAAATGATTTGAGCTTCTTTTTCTCGCTTGGATTGCCCACCGATTATTCTTACATGGAAGCAGCACATATATGTCATGGCAGATGAAACTGCTGTCGCAGACGAATAGATGACTATCATGAAGAAACATTCCGACGCTAGTCTGAAGCTGTTCAGAACGCTGAGCCTGGTAGGCTTAGGGAATCGTCTATATACGGATGAAAATTCCAATTGAATACAATTGTAGAAGAGAAGTTGCGACGCGCTCTTGCCGTACATGCTCAGTGACTGATCGAAGAGAATGTGCTTTGATCGTCTGTCGCGCTGTTCACAGGGGACCCTTGGTCCTCCGAACGAATCTGTTGTCGCGAGTGTGGTGATACGGACGATGTTGGCGATAATGTTGGCCACGGTGGTGAATAAATGCCCAAGCCTAATCCTTTGCTACTGATCCCTGAGCCGTTCGAGTTCAAGCCGCCTCCTGATTGAACTGCGTTTCTCAGCCCGACCCGCGAGATAGCGCGTCGAAGCATATCCCCAGATGCATCAAGAGCAATCAGGAACCGCGCCAGCTCACCACAGAGCTCCCAATCGCTATTTTGCGACGCGAGACCAATGAGACGGACAACATAGTCCTCGATTGGCGCCTCCTGACCACCCTCATCTTCGTCTTCAAGGGCTTGTAAGACGAGCAGATACCCCACCGCCGTCTTGAGAGAGTTGAGCCTTAGGGCCTGTTCAAAAAGATCCTTTGGAGGAGGCAAGTGGTTGAAAAGTGTGCGCCATGAGCGAAGCTCGGTCTTCCTCGTGCACTGGACCACAATGTCCAAAAAGACTTTAATCGGCAGTGATGCTTGAAGGAATGAAATGACGGATGGCAATAGTGGCTCGTGACTTTGAGAGGGATTATCGGTCTTGCTTTCTTTCCTCTCGTTATCAACCTCGTCATCCAGGACGTGGTGCAAAAGCATTTCCAAGGCATGCGGGAAGTATGAGAGGTGGGAGAAACGTTGGCATAGCGTGAGTGCTGCCGTGATGTCTCCACGGACAAGATCATGTTGTAGAACATATGGTAGGAATAAATGAGTCTGTTCAACATCAGTACATATGTCGACATGGATGACATGTATAAGGAATACAAAGCGAAGATCATACCCTTATAGCGAATTTCAGAGCGGCAAATGTGACATCACGTCTTTGTATCATTTCCGACTCGACACCCAAAACTATGCCCTTGTTCAACAGTACTGACAGAGGGTAGAAGTCCAACGGCACTTGTATTGGCTTTGGCACTTCCTCTCGTTGCAGAACATCATGCACATTCCCCCAGACGAGCAATTCCTTGCCACAGAACATCCAGAGTGAATCCCGCAGTGATTGATCACTATGGTGGTACGCACTCAATGCCACCTCGGCCGAGGGACTGGCTGGAACAGACTCATCCACTGGCGGTGCAAAATTGAAGGAGAATTGATCTCGCATCAAAATATAGTACTCAACGTCGTGAGAAATGACCCGCATATCATATTTAAGTTCGCCAGATTCTGCCAAGCTGGGTTGTAATAGAACCATGTTTCCGTCAACCAAGAGCAGCACTGATGCCACCTTTACGTCCTGAGACGGATCGCCGTTTCCTGCCAGACGTTAGAAATTGCCATAATTTCACAAACCCATAAGAGTGACACTTAGACACTTACGCATCTGGTCCTCCGGCAGTACCCAGCTAATCGCCCGAACTCTGGTAGGTGCCCGCACAATACCGTTGAACGCAATCTGACCAACAGGGACAAGGGTTATCCGTTGCTGCATCGAGTTGATAATATAATGGTATAAGATGTTATCATAAGTGTAGACGAGAAGCGAATCTTCGCCAGAAGGTCCTATGAACACCACTGGCGAGGGAAGGTGTTCTTTGTGCAATATTGAATGCTTGTTCAAAGACAGTTCTCGGGAATATAGACGCAGCTGTAAAAAAGCCATCAACCTTCTGTTGCTTCAAAACAGCTTAGTGGTACTAAAAAGACGAACCTCGTAGGAGCCATCGCTTTCGACAGCGGCAATCAGAATGTGCCCATACCAGCACATGCCGCCGCGGACGGCAAACGAATTTTCTGTCTTCGGATCTTCAAAGACTTTCCAGCGACCACTGTTGACGCTGTAATGCGCAAGTCCCCGTCTACCTGCAATGGCTATGTATCGCCCATCTTGCGAGACGACACTCGAGCGGATCGGCCACTGGGAATGGAGGTATGCTGGAGGATACTGTGCATGATGCCACAGTGAGTCCTTGCCCGAGATTGTCATAAGATCAGGTAAATCATGGCCGCGATATAGGATGACTTCTGTGCCAGTCTGTAACAAGCCTCTGGCTAGATTAGCTGAAGAAAAGCAGCCCGTAAGAGCGCTTCGGGCTGTTTCAAGGATCCATATGCGACGGTCGTTCCGCCCTGTCAATAGAATGTCTGACCCTCCGCCTACCCAGCATCCATTGGATACCCCAGTCAACCAGTCTTCAGAATTGTTTGCAGCGAGCGATCTATCCACCGAGAAGCTGTTTCCACCCGGTTTGCCAAATACGCTCCATGTTGTCCAGCCATGATCATAGCCTGCAAAAAGACAATATCCGTCGGGAGAGTAGGACATAAAGTTCAAGCTGCCCATGGTGGTAGGAGAAGCGGGTAGTTGGAGCTTGTGTGAGAATGGAACATTCCCCAGATAGTCTTTTGCTGTGTAGACGAGGATCTCACCATTGGCGCAGTTCACTGTGAGCAATGAAAACCGGGCATTGATCGCGACCTTGATTGCTTTTTCGCCATCATGCTTCGGATCGTGGAAGCAGTGGCCTTGGAAAAGTTTCCTTGGACTTTCTGCCGTGCTGGTCCTCTCCGGCAGTCGTTGTACGGCATATGCTTGTCCCTCGCTGGTAACCCACACCAATAGATTGATTGCTCGATCGTAGACCATATCCGTAATAGAGGTCCGCTTCGAAACATTCAGAATACGGCTGAGTAGCTCCGACGTGGTGTGGGCTCCGCTTGCGTCCGGAGCCCACCGAATGCATTGGACAGCCGCAGGTCTGACGGTAGCTACAACCAGCTCCTGGTCAAGAGCCAGAGCTTTGACAATGCCAGATTCGATTTTGATTGCCATCCGAAAGCGGAGGCTAACATCACGCACCGCATTCGCATCGTCCTCAGCAGACAGTCGAGCGAGTTGCTGACGACGGTTCTGACTCGATTGATCGAAATGTTGTTGATATACGCGACTGGTGGGGTCAGTCGCAATCGTATAAGTAAGCAGATATCCACCAAGTGTCTGCACAGCAAGTATCGTCGAGTCAGGATGCATCAGAACAGTGACATTCGGCCCGTAAGTCTTCAGGGATGAGGCGGAGCGGGCAATCGCAGCAACAACTGCGGTAGGCTAACGGCAAGTCAGCAGATCAATTCACACTCCATGACGAGCAAGAGGGTCGCAAAGTCATACTCTAGTCTGCCAAACAGCTATCGAGGAGTCGGTCATCGTCGCAAATATGTGGCCGCTCCGAGAAATACAGAGACCAGTAATGGTCTCATTGGCCCAGGCTGACTCGGTTTCGGGCCTCTCTCCCTTAACATTGTGATCCGTTACAGATCTCTCCTCCTCAGCAGTCTCACGCTCCTTTGCCTCGGACTCGATATGGAAAGTAATTGGAATCCCTGGGCCATTGATCGCATAGACCCGCGGAACTCCATTTGGCCAGTACATGGCTCGACTTGGGTGCGATAGTCACAGACAGGACAAGGAGCTCACATTGAGTCATCTTCGACTGCTCTAGGATGGAGTTTGATGTGTCAAACTCGGGACATTCCAATCCCAGAGAGACCCGCCGTGATTATCAAAGTCCTCCACGTCTTAGCCATCAAAACAACGAATATCTGATGTGACAATGGTATTTGAGCCGACATGTTGATGATGATCCCCATCGTCACGTGTACCGGAGTTTCCCCTGACAAACAGAACAAACAAAGCAAACACTGCGGTCTGAGGCCCCCGCATTCGTTCAGCTTCACGAGCCTTCGATTGATTCTCCAGTCTTCCGCTTGCTTTATCTGTCTTTATTTTTTTGACTTTGAACCAATCCGACCTTTTGGTGCGATATTCAGTCAGTTCACAAAATGGTAAGATGGTCCGGCTCTCCAGTACACCGTATTCACGGCAGATCAGTAACTTACCGACTCCTGTTCCATCTCTAGGCTCCCACCGAGTCTCAGAAGCGCCTGGCGCTTGCGATTATTGACTTTTTAAACTCCAGCCTGAAGGATGGCACTCTGACTACGGATGACGCTGAATCCATTGAGATCGCCCAATCGTGTATTGCGGACACTTTCAAGGTCGACCCCTCCGATGAGGCCGCTGTCAAGGACGCTCTTGGCGGACAATCTCTGGCGAGCATCTTCAGCGTCTACGAGAAGCTCCGTAAGAAGCCTTCGACAGAATCTGCTGGTGCTGGAGCGCAGGCCAAGAGCGCAGAGGCACAGCAGCCCAAGGCTGGTGCTCCCACACCCGAATCCGACAAGTTGAAATCGGAGGGAAATGCAGCCATGGCCCGCAAGGAATACAGTAAGGCGATTGATCTTTACACTCAGGCCCTGTCCATCGCTCCCTCGAACCCAATCTACCTCTCCAACCGTGCTGCTGCCTACTCTGCCTCCGGTCAACATGAGAAAGCTGCGGAGGATGCGGAGCTCGCCACTGTTGTGGATCCCAAGTACTCCAAGGCCTGGAGTCGTCTCGGTCTAGCGCGGTTCGATATGGCAGACTACAAGGGAGCAAAGGAAGCATACGAAAAGGGTATTGAGGCGGAAGGTAACGGAGGTAGCGATGCAATGAAGAGAGGTCTTGAAACCACTAAGAGGAAGATCGAAGAGGCCAGCCGTGGTGCCGAGCCTCCTGCCGATGATGTCGACGATGCCGCTGGAGCATCGCGCGGTGCTGGCGGAATGCCTGATCTCTCCTCT